CACTTCAGTGGTGGCTTCCTTGATGATGACCAGTGGTGAGGGCCATGACCAGTGAGACAACAACCAGTGGTGAGGGCCACAACAAGTGGTTAGGGCCATGACAAGTGGTAAGGGCCACAACCAGCAGTGAGGGCCACAACCAGCAGCAAGGGCCACAACAAGCAGTGAGGGCCACAACAAGCAGTGAGGGCCATGACCAGTGGTGAGGGCCATAAGCAGTGGTGAGGGCCACAACATGTGGTGGTGATGAAGGCAGCCACACAAGATGGACAATGGAGATGAAGGTGGACACAAGATGGATTCCAGACAGTGAAGAAGGTGGACACAAGACAGACAATGGGTGTGAATTAGGTTACCTTTTTCCACATAAAAAGAGGTGAATTTAGGCGAACAAAATGTGCTGACCTTTATTCATCTTGAGGAAGGTGAAAATTGTCGCCTTGTGTCCATCTACATTCCTGGCAGTATTAGGCAGAGGGGAGCTTGGGGCCAGTGGCGATGGTGCCAGGCATGCAGGCATTGGCATAGGCCACTAAGTTGTTGCTGAACTTCTGGGCCAGCTTCTCAAGGGTGGCCTTGTAGGCAGCCTTGTCCTTCCACAAGTTAACAGGGTTGAGAATCTCAGCAGGCATGCCAGTCACTACCTTGGGAATGCTGATGTTGAAGACCCCAAAGTTCTCATACTCACACTTGGCCAGCTCACCATTGTGGATGGTGTCAATGATGGCCTGGGTCCAGGCTAGCTTCATCCAGGTGCCAACACCATACCCACCACCCTACCAGCCAGTGTTGACCAGCCAGCAGTCGACCTTGTGGGTCTTGACCTTCTCAATGTTGGTGTAGAGATTGGGGTGGAACACAAGGAACAGGGCCAAGAAGGCTGGTGAGAACGTGCACACAGGCTCCATGATTCCCACCTCAGTACCAGCCACCTTGGCACACATCAACAGAGGTCAGAAAAGGTGTGTCCAGGTGTGTCTGCTGTGCATGAAGTGGTACCTGTATAGCTAGTGATGAAGTGGTAAGCAGTCTGCTCAGGTGTGAGCTTGGAGATGGGCAGGAGGACGCCAAAGGCATTGCACATGAGGAGGATGATGTTCTTGGGTTGGCCAGCCACACATGGGATGATGGTGTTGGGGATAAATTGCCATCAATGCCCTTGTTGCCATCAATGCCATCAATGCCATCAATGTAATCATTGCTGTTGATGCTATCATTGCCATATGCAGTGAAATCATCTTGCACTACAGTGCTGCACTCATTGAAGTCAATGTAGTCTTGACCATTGTTCACATTGAAACAGTTGTCATTGGTGTGGTAGGCACCATCGCCATTGTCAAGGAGCATGCTGCTATTTTTACTCCATAATCGCCCTGACAGACTTGTGCACTAACAAATCACACCTTGTCTTATCTTAACTATCAAGTTAGCAAAACATGTTTGAGCAGAATGAAAGCAATGCCATGTTGCAGTTCCTGCTTGAGCGCTTCCAGCACAGAGTGCACCCCTGCATGTAGACAGCTACATGTCTGTTTGTTAGTATACATGAATAAAAAGAAGCAAGCAACACACCATCAGCATCAGACTCGCATGCAACCACCTCTTGGTGCTGGAGGAAAGCTTGGCCTTGTGGAGCTCCTTAAGGTGAGTTTTGGTGTCTTTGGTTAGCTGGGCAGGATGGGTGTGTGTTTGCTGCCTTGTGCCTGGCTTCCATCCACAGGCACAGCCCAGTCTGGGATAGGTTGCAGTGAAGAGCTTGTACATCATGACTTTGTGTGCCTGGGGCTCTAGGTACATGACCTTGAAGACAACTTTCCACAACCAAGGAAGCAGCAGATGAGAAAGGCTTGATGGTGGGGTTGGGGTGTGTAGGCCAGGGGTACCTGGAACAACTACCAGACACCTACCATAGCTGTTGAGGTCGTCCTTAAGTTGGTGAATGCAGAATTTTTGCAATGCACTTTCATGGAAGAACCTGGGTGTGCACTTGCTGAAGTTGTGCATGTTGTTGAAGAGCTTGAAGTAGTTCATGATGTTGTCCTTGCTGGTCTAGAGGGGGAAACCTGCAAAGGACCAAGCAACTCAGTTGGTCTTGGTCCTTTTTGGGCCTGGGGTGGGTTAGGTACCAGACAATCCAATGGTGTGATGGGCGTGTTGGAAGCAGTTGGTCTTGCCATCCTTGAGGTTTTGCAGCTCATCCCAAACAACATGCACTGCCAGATTGGCTTGTGCAACTTGGCACATTGAAAACAAGAACAGCTGCTTAGCAATGGCTTGAGCAAAGAAAGGTATGCAAACCCATGCCTGAGGCAGTGCATTGTAGGTAATGATGAGGATGTGCATGTCCTCAATATAAGAGCCAGGATCATTGATAAACTCCTGGAGAGCCTTGGTGCTTGGGCAGGCAACAATCCAAGTGCCTTCAGTGCCAACAAACTTCATGGCCTCCTGTTTCCAGTTCTCCACAACCAGAGCACCTGGAGCAATGACAAGCATCAGCCATTGTGGGTTTTGTGCAAGCGCTGCAAGCACCATGACTGTGCTCATACATTGACAGTGCTGATCAGATATGCAAGTATTGAGGTGGGAAGGTTGTGTGCAGGTACATGTTGTCAAAGAGGAAGCAACTGCCATATTGTGGAGTATGCTCCCAGTGAAGGATGAATCCACACCACCCTTTTGGAATGGCAGCAGCTCACCCTGAAAATGGCAAGGTGCCCTTGAGGACAATGACAAGCAGTTGTTAGGTGAGCAGGACATAAGCAACATAAGAGAAAGGCATGGATGTCAACCCCAATGGATTGGAGGTACCTTGGTGTTGCTTATTGTTGACAAGGCCATTGCCATGCACAAGCACCGGGGGGTTGGCAATGTCAGCAACTTTACAACAACGTGAGGAGGTAAATCTGGCCTTCTCAATGGTGTCATGTTGGGCAGGTGGAGGACTGATATGCATGATCCATAGAGGTTGTAGTTCAAGGCCAATTCAAGTGTGCACTCCTTGGCTGATCACAGGGCTTCTGCTTGGCAAGCAGGACAACATAGAGGAAGGAACACTTGGGCACTGCTCTCATGAGGCACCTCAAGACATGGTGGTGGTCATCCTTGTCAAGCTTGAGCATGGCACTGCTAGTGACACTGGTCCATGTGTTGAGGTTGAGTCCACAGGCCACAGCTGATGGCAGGTGAAGGTGGCTCAAATCCATCACAGCTTTGATGGGCTGCATGCTCTCCTGCACCCAAGAGCAATGAGACACAGCTGGATATTTGGTTTTGTGTCAGTGTGTGCCACACAGTGAATTATGTTGGTGTGTAGCACTTGGACAGCATAGGTACCAGAGGCAGAAGTGCAAAGTACTCCATGTTGTCCTGGCACTTCCAAGTGGTGATGAGCTGGTCAAAGGTTAAAGCCAGAGCAGTAATGATCTCAGGCACACTGCAGTGGGCGAAGACACTCATTGCTTTGAGTGTGTTCTGGTGAAGACATGGCAACACAAGGAGGACACAAAACACCATTCTCATGACAAGCACAGTGTGTTGAGGATGAGGTAGCAGTACCATGACTGACTCATCAGGCACTACACGCAGCAGGCTCCAAAGAAGTAGGGTGAGGTGGTGTCCTGCCAACATCCCTGTTCCCATGGGTACCATCTCCTGGATCGAGGAAAGGTCAGGAATAAGGAGTGGCCACTTGATGGCCATGCAGTCAGCCTTGGAGGTGCACAAGAGCAGCTGTATCTGCATGTCTGTTCAGGTGCAAGCTGGTTGGACATACTGCAGTGTGAGCAGCATACCAGGTAGCTGGGTGGATGATGATGAGGTCTTGTGGATATTGGGCATGGCAAACACAGAATTGATCAACAAAAAGCTGTGTGCAGTAGGTTGTGCACTTGGAACTTGTCTGAGGTACTGCTGTTCATGAAGAAGTTGAGCTGGGATTCATTGAGCTCATTCTTTATGGGCACTTTAGCCTGGACTGCTGACTGCTTTACCATTGTTGTCATCTCTGGTGTGCAGTGTGTGAGCCATGACACAAGAGGAGCAGAGGTAGGAGTGGTGGTGATGTGTACCCTGCCATGCTGGCTTGCGTGGTCAACAAGAAACCAATGATGAAATGGCACATCAGCATGTCTGTGATCAGCATGCTTTCTCGTAGCCCAGGCATCTGGAGTCTGGCCAAGCAACACTGTGGCAAGATTGCACATGGCAAGACAAAAGGAGAGGCTGCAGCACAAGATGAGAGGCACCATTACATGGAGTGATTGGTGACCTCAAGTAAAATGTGCTGCATGAAGAATCTTTGTAGAGTGTG